CCTGTGCCCTGTGCCCTGTGCCCTGTGCCCTGTGCCCTGTGTCCTGTGTCCTGTGTCCTGTGTCCTGTGTCCTGTGTCCTGTGTCCTGTGCAGTGCACCCATGTCGTTGTCAGTAACCTGGACAGCGTGAGCTCCAACCGCCTGAAGAGCATCCGCAGGTTCCAGGTGCCGGTGGTGGGGGTGGAGTACGTGTCTCAGTGCCTGGAACAGGGGAGACTGCTGGTGGTGGAAGGGTACTCTCCAGCTCTGCCACATCCCCGTGACCCCCCTCGCACCCCAAAACTGACAGGTAGTGGCCGGCGGCTCAGGTGGCCCGTTCACCACCCGCTGTCAAACGCAGTGCGGACGCTTTTCACTCAGAATTATTCCTTCTTCTAAGAGGCAGAAAATGGACCCTAAAAAGTGCAACAGAGGCTCCCAGAGCCCAATACAGCAGGTTTCCGGAGTCTCCTGACACTTTCACCGTTTTGAAGTCAGAGGTTTATTTTAAAGGGATTTGGGGCACCTGACATTATTCTAAGACTCCCTGAAGCCTGTTCACTCCTGTCTCATTTTCTTTCTTCCACTGAATTTACATGCTTCTCAAGGCAGGAGTTTGGGCTTGTCATTTAAAAGCCGGGGGAAACTGAAGATCTCTGTCCACTCCAGGTCAGCAGCCCAGAGAGCAGCCAAAAGACCTTCCGGAGCAGAATGAGGAAGAGAAGGCTGAGGAAGGCCCAACACTAGGCCATTTCAGGTGTGGTGGGCTTGTGCAGAGCAAACTGCAACACGAGATGATGCCTTACCTCTGTTTTTAAAAGCGTCTCCATTTTCTCAGGAATGAGGATTAAGGATAAGATCATGTCTACGACACTTTGTTCATGGTTTATGTCATTCCCATTGTACAGTGCCTTGCAAGTACAAAATGACTGATGCCCATTTCTTAAAATCAGTGTTTTGTTTAAAACCTGAATGCTCAACCTGAAGACTTTCAGTCTTAATCAGCTGACAACATATGGGAAAGATAAGTAAATTTCAGGAAAAATTGAAAAGAAAAAAACTTAAATAGGTTGATTGCAAAAGTATTCAGGCCCACAAACCTGGTAGCAGCACTTTTGGCAGCACATACAGTTGCAAGTCTTGTAGGGGAGGTCTCTACCAATTTTGCACACCAGCGTAGTGCAATTGTAGCCCATTTCTCTTGGCAGATGTGCTCAAGCTCTCAAGATTTATGGGAATCATTTGTGGGCAGCAGTTTGCAAGTCTTTCCACAGATTACTGATAAGACTCAAGTCCGGAGATTGATTGGGCCACTCAGGCACATTCACTTTCTTATTGTCAAGCCTCTGGCCTCGTGCTTTGAGTCCCGTTGAAAGGTGAATTTCTGTCCCGGTTTTGGGTCTGAAGCAGGTTCACCTTTGTGATCTGTCAGTATTTTGCTCCCTCTGTGTGCCCACCAGTCTTATCGAGCTTCCCAGTCCCTGCTGATGAGTGTCAGAACCCGAACATACTGCCGCCACCACCCTGCTGGACAGTGGGCATGGTGCTGACTGAGTGATGACCTCTTCTGGCTTTCAGTCAGATGTAATGCTCTGCGTTTAAAGACATGAGAAGGGCCAAGCGCCTTTTTCTCATTTGTAACCTATCTAGCTTGTTTGGTAGTTAGTAGTTAATTGGTTTATTTTTTTTTAAAAAAATCAAAGTTTTGTCTTATCTGACCAAAAAGCCTTTTGTCACCTTTCGGTACTTTGGTGCAGACCTGGTGGTGGAAATGCCTCCACTTGAATTAACCCCTGGACTGGGATCGAGGATCACAGTTCCTGCTGGGGAAAAGGCCAGGCAGAAATGTCGATTGCGTTTTAGAGCCAGCGCTTTTCATGACTGCCAGAGTCAAGTGTAAACATGTTTTAGTAGCCCACTTGATGTGTTTCTGTTAATATATTTGTCTTTTATTCACATTTGCTGTGTGCTCTCCTGTTTAGGGTTTATGGTGAGAATGAGAAAGGCTTGCCGACATACCCAGAAGATTTCCAGGTGGCCAAGTATTCTGTTTTTGACAAGGTAAACAGACTGTTTTCTTCCTGTATTCAAACATTCTGCTTTAATCGTCCTCTGTTCTGTAGCATTGTGTAATAATTATTGCAGGCAGGTATAGTGCAATCTTTAATATTTGTTTTATAAGTCTGTCATTTTTTATATATGTGAGACATGGCCTAATATAAAATAATTTCAACCCTTTTATTCTCTCCAATAGAAAATATGAATAGCACAAAATGACAGTTCTGATTTACAAAATGAATCATATTAAGAAGTTTAATGGGGACTCCCCTCCACCGCCACCAGTGTGCAGCCCTACCTGGATGATGGGAATAGCTTATCTCTGGTACAGCAGTCATGAAAGCGCTGTACAATCACGGACAGAAATGAGTCTCATAAACGTTCAGTATTGACTGTGTTCACACAGCCACCTGACAGTTTTCAGATTGCATTCGAAGAAGATTCATTTCTATGCAGTTTGTGCAGTAAAATAAAAATAAATCAGTATTGTTATGCAGTTTCTACAAGGCTTTACAATAAGTATCTGAGGACATGCGGGATCATTGGAGCTCGGCAGGCTAGGGTCCAGTGCAATGGAGAGTGAACCGCGGATGGTATCGGCGCAGATGTGCACACTACTGGCAGGAGTCCTGTCCGTGCTGCTGTGAGCGAGGGCCGGCCGGAGAGCCGATCCCTCAGCAGCCTGTCTGTCTGTCTGTCTGTCTGTCTCTCTCTCAGGGGGACGGTGTGGCCGTGGTGGAGCTGCAGTGCTGTGCGGGGAACCCAGAGCTGCCGTTCCGCGTCGCTCGGCGGGAGGGGGAGCGCTGCAGCAGCCAGGTCGCGGTCTCCTCTCCCTGCCGCCGCCTGAGCTTCAGCATTTCCGTTCGAACCTCCGTCTGTAAAAATAGAAACATCCGCCGGGATTTTTCTAGACCGGATTCTGTTTTTACAAAAAAAACAAAACCTCCCAGAATGAAAAGCTTTATTAACAAAAAACTTTGCAAAGGAATGGCATGCATCTGAAAGAACTGTAATCTCTCTGCTGTTCAGCAATATTAAAGGGTACCGTAGGCCTCTGCTCCTACACCAGTTTGTCGTTGCCTTAACATTTGAACTGTTTGCAGCTTTCAAAGGTTTTATTTTTAAATGGTTCCTTTTAAAGGTGTCAGGGGTATGGTCTTTACAAAGGTACTGCCAGCTCCTGTTCACTCCCTTGATCTCTCGGCAGGTCCTGAAGACCAGAGGAGACCTGATATTCACTGCCACGTCAGAAGCTGCCCTGCAGGCCTACGAGCTGGTGACGAGGGAGCTGACAGCTCGGGGCTTCAGGGAGCTCCAGGATCCCATTGGGGAAGCTCGCTTTCTGGGCTCGGAGAAACTCCAGGAGGTCAGAGCGAGTGGTTGATGTCTAAGGCACGAGAAGCTCAGGAAAATATTGTTAAATGACGCGATTCGTACGATTAAATTGCAATTTGGAGTTAGAAGTGCTTTGTCCTTTTTACAGTGAAAAGCATAACAGCAGCCAGACTGCCTAATAACCCGATCTTGCGAGAGTTTTTGCATCACCGGTTCATGGTGAATCCTTGCATGAATCCAGTCCGCAGACGCCTCGTGGCCGGACAGAGGACACTTGCGTTGCTCGGTCTCTGTGGCTTCCTTGCCCGTCGTGGGGATCCGCGGGGCATTGTGGGGCAAGAGGGTGTGGCGCGAGAGAGAGGGGAGCTCCTCCTTGACTCTGGCATTTTCTCCCGACAGCTGCTCCTGGAGGAGAGTCTGAACAGCAGCACCATCCCCCGGGAGGTGGGGGAGTTTGTGGAGCTGCTCTGGACGGAGGCCCTGGGCTGCCTTGGCGACGTGCTTGCCACCCCCGTCTCTGCCATCAGCCCTGGGGATGTGAGCAAGTCTCGGTGATGCCCGTCGTGCCGTCTCCCTCGTTCGGAAGGAATCTGCTCGCCGAGATGAGTCAGCGGCCAGTACACTGTAGAAAGCCGACAGAGACTAATGAGTTTACCAGGACACAAGAAATTCTGCATGTCCCAGGGCCTCATGGGAAAACTGGGGTTCGGCGAACCGAAGTCGCGATTCAACCTATTAAAACCTCTCAAACGTTCTTTTCCGCCTGTGATAAATAAGGAAAACAATAACAGTTAAAGGGAAGCAAAACAATATAATTTGGGAATAAGGCTGTATAGATCGTTTTAGACACGGTGAACGAGAGAGAAATGGCAGGCGTGGCTCGAGCCAGCAGGCAGCGCAGCTCACACGTGCTTGTCGAGCTGGCGGACGCTCTAGACTGGGGGGTCGCGCGAGGTTAAATGGCATTTTGTGTGGAAATTCATAGCTGCATCAGATAAATCTGTGTGTAGCAAGGGATTGCTGTGCTGTTATTTCAAATGAAGGATGTCTGGCCATCGGGCTCTGACTGCATCATGAAAACTACAGCAATTGGCTGTTCTTCCTCACTTGGGGTTTTAGGTGCCTGCTTGATGGGCGTCTCGGCGTCCAAACTGCGCTGTGTCATTCCCATTCATGACCGACTACAGGAAGGTGCTTCCGAGTAACTACGGCAACCGGTGCTTCTGCTGCTCCGCCTGCCAATCAATCAATTACCATGACAAGGCAAAGTAGCAGGAAGTCAGTCCTGCCTGTCCACTGTTAATGAGTACCTATTCCCACAGGATCTCACAGTTCATCCTCGCTCAGCCCTTCTTCTGGTCTGACCGTTTCCCCCATTTTCTTCATCGCTTCCTAGCTTCGGCCCTCGTTTGTGTTTCCGACTTTGGCTCTGGATTTCCCCCTGCGCTCGGCTGGGCTTTTCCCGGTCTGGATCTGAGCTAGTGCCCTGGATACGCTTCCGGATTCCCCCCCCCACCCATGCCTTCTCGTCTCGACGGGCTGCGAACTCTCTTTTGTTTTCCCACTACGGTGTGGCTTGCGCCCTCGATCTGCCCCTCTGCGGTTGACGTCTGCCTGCCTGCCTGCCTGCCAGCTCTGCCTCGCACCTGGGTTCACACGCTGCCGGGGACGCCGCGCCCGGCCCGGGGAGAGCGGCCGTCTTGACGTGTCTCTCTTGTTTGTCCGCTGCAGGTCAGCAGAGCTGAGGGCGCCCTGCTGCAGGTGCACAAGGCTCTGAGCGCTGGGGCCGGTCACAGCGAGCTGGCTGCCCTCATGGCCGAGTTCTACAGAGCCCTGCCCCACAAGGACCCTGCCCGCCCCACCCCCACGGCCAAGATCCTCTCTCAGAAAAGAGACCTCTGCCAGGCAAGACGAGCTGGGCCCCGCTTCTTGTATTATTAATTAACGATATTTCACCAAAATCTCCCATTTACATGTAATAATAATAATAATAATAATAATAATTGCTTACACTTATATAGCGCCTTTTCTGGACATTCCACTCAAAGCGCTTTACAAGTAATGGGGATCCCCTCCACCACCACCAGTGTGCACCCCGCCTGGATGATGCAACGGCATGTAGGAAACACATACCAGGCCACAGCCTTAGGGGTTATTTAATCATCGCTAAACTCAAACACATATACTGTGGCTTTAGAGCACACACCAAATGGAAGATTGTAAGAATTGGATACTAAAACATATTGTCCAGATATTACGAGTAACTTATTGTAATCACGCTTTTCTAAAAGGTACATCTCTTTGTTAAAACTGAGAAAAGCATGCCTTTGAGTGCCTTGTGTCTCGTGCTCCCCGTTAGCTCATCAGGGACATCGTCAGTGTGAGTGAGGCCACGCTATGGAGCTCCACGCCCTCCTCTCTGGCCAAATACCGAGCCTTGCGGTGCAGCATGGAGCAGGTGCACCCTGGCAGTGCCGAGTTCTCAGCCGTGGAGAAGCTGCTCCACGACAGGTACCTGCGGCTCTGCCTGCACAGGGTAACGGGTCTGTGGGGGCGGAGAAACCACGTCCACCGCAAGGATGAGCTTGCCACGTGGAGCAGGGTTCAAATCGATTAACTACAGAGCAGCTTTAAAAAAAAAAAAAAAGAGCTCCTACTTCGATGCAAATCATTTTACTGAGATGACCTGTGCAGCAGTGGGAGATGTAATTGAGCTTTGAGTACAGTACGGGCACCATGATGGTTCGTTCGGGGGTCAGAGCTCTTGCCTCACAGCTTTTTGGGTCCCGAGTCTGACTCCAGGCTGGGGATAGTCTGTGTGGAGTGTGCACCTGTCCCCCGTGTTCATCCATCCTGAGTGCTCTGGTTTCCTCCCAATTCCAGCAGAGTTTGGTTCCAAATTGGCCCATTCTCTGTAGCCCCGTCATGGACAGGTGTCGGGTCCTGTCTTGCCTTGTGCCTTATACTTCCAGGGTGGGCTCCTCGCTGCCACAATACTCAGATGTATTCAGTACCTCAGTTCTGAGTATATCTGAATGTTAAATGCATTCCTTATTTTAAATGGCTGTTTGAAGTGTTTTTAACCCTGCCATGTGAATGGATGAGCTTTTGTTCCTGCCTGGACCCGAGCGCGCTGGAGGCCAGTTTGACACAGGGGGCTGTGTTTCAGTTCCAGGCCAGTGCAGATCAAGAAGGCGCTGCGCGTCTGCAGGGCGGCGGAGCTGCAGAGCTTCCGGAGACAGCTGGGGAACGTGCGCCCGCTGCTCCACGCCTCCGCGCCCGGCAGCTTCGTGGGCATCCTGTCCAGGTGACACTGCGCCTCTTCACTGCGCGACGCTTCCTTGCCTTTCCTGTTCCTTGTTTCATGTCTTAAATATCGGAATTAGAAAAGAATCCAATCTGTTACGACTGCAGACGTGTAATTACTTTGGTGCAGAGGGAGGTAACGCCTTCAGAATAGTTATAGCTGAGTGCTCTTAAGATCTCTCTCTCCTGCTTTAGTTTTTTTTTTCCATTTGTCTGAAGAGCCCAGGTGTGCCACAAGATGGGAACGAAAAGCATTAGGGGAACAAAGAGCATCCTGAAACCCAGGAAAGCATGTGTGTGGTGCAGTAATGCAGTAAAGCCCTACTAAAGCATGACAGCTTCATGTATTGTTGTTTTCCAAAGCACGTCCAGCATTTTGCCCATACAGCTAGATATGCAGCTGGGCAATGGACTGAGGCAGTGTGATTGAAGTGCCTTGGGCAGGTGTACAACCCAGGATTTGACTCCACCTCCACCTTGAAATGTGGCATGGTGTGGCTTTTTTTTCCTATAAGGGGGAGTACAGCATGCGATTTATCGATCAGGGATGGATGGGGGCGACGCCTCAGCCGTAAGAGAGCTCAGGAACGGAAGTGGGTTTCAGGAGGCTCGGCTGCTTCCTGCCTCGGCGCTCTGTGACTAACTGTGCGTGGCTCTTGATGTCGCAGGGGCCTGCTGCTGCCGAAGACGGGTGTGGAGCAACATGGGATTGAGAGGACCGATGCTGGGACCCTGGGCAGTGGCATTTACTTCAGTGACGCGGTCAGGTTAGCAGAGTCCCTCGTTGCCGTGTGGCCCTAATAAAGCATGACAGCTTCACGCCTCACGTACTGTTGTTATCCAAAGCACGTCCAGCATTTTGGCCATACAGCTAGATATGCAGCTGGGCAAGTGACTGAGGCAGTGTGATTGAAGTGCCTTGGGCAGGTGTACAA